GGAAGGCTGAGGCAGAAGGATCGCTGGAGCCCAGCAGGTCGAGGCTGCGGTGGCTGGGAGCGGCCACTGCACTCCAGTCTGGGCGACAGAGTGAGACTCCAACTCAAAAAAAAAAAAAAAGAAAAGAAAATCACTGCTTTAGGCTGGGCACGATGGCTCACACCTGTAATCCTAGCACTTTGGGAGGTAGAGGCAAGAGGATTGCCTGAACCCAGTCTGGGCATCTTGGCAAGACCTTGTCTCTACAACAAATTAAAAAATTAGCCAGGCATGGTGGCTTGCGCCTGTGGTTCCAGTTACTTGGAGAGCTGAGGTGGAAGGATCACCTGAGCCCAGTAGGTCAAGGCTATGGTGGCCATGAGCCTGCCACTGTACTCCAGCCTAGGCAACAGACAGACTCCGACTCAAAAAAAAAAAGAAAATCACTCCTCTACAAACCATGTATTCCTTACTGTCTGCCCTAGGGTGGACAACGCCCTCTACCCACCTCATCTTAGTATGTCACTGCAAGGCATTAAACTTAAGCCTGGGCTTCAGGACCTTTGGTCACAGGTTCAGTTAAGAAGTAATGACCCGGCTGGGCTCGGTGGCTCAGCCTATAATCTCAGCACTTTGGGAGGCTGAGGTGAATGAATTGCCTGGGCCTGCAGGTTCGAGACCAGCGCAGGCAACTTGGCAAGACCTCGTCTCTACAATAAGTAAAAAATTAGCCAGGCGTGGGAGCATGTACCCATAGTTCTGACTACCTGGAAGATTGAGGCGAAAGGATCACCAGAGCCCAGCAAGTCGACGCTGGGGTGACCGTGAGCGTGCCACTGCACTCCAGCTTGGGCAACAGAGAGAGACTCCAACTCAAAAAAAAAAAAAAAAGTAATGGCCCTCAAACGCAAGGACATCCACCCTCCTGTCACTTAGGCTCCTACCTCATCCTGAAGCCGGTTCAGCCCCCCAGAGGTCTTCTCAGCCTCACTGGCCCAATCCTTGGCCTGGCGCTGGGCATCAGCCACCTCCCGCCGGGCCTTTTCCTTGTAGTCCTCCAGCTGGGCCTGGAGCTGCTGTAGGGCTTGCTTAGAATCCTCTCCAATCTGTTCCAGCTAAAATGCAGAGAAAAGAGTTTTCAGCCACACACCTCTTTAATAGATGACTCTGTCCCTTCTTCAGGCCCAAGTCCCCAAGACTCTCTTAAGAGCCTCCCTCTTTCCCAGACCTAGTTCCTATAATAGTTATATACCGATGTCAGGGTTCAAATCCTGGCTCTGGCTCTATCACTTACTAATGACCATAGGCAAGTCACTTATCCTCTCTGGATCTCAATTCCCCAACTGTTAAACGGAGTGAAAATAGTACCTATATTCCAAGACTGCTGTGAGAATTGTGTTAGTTAATTACATAAAGTTCAGTGCTTAAATGGTGCCCGATGCAAAGCAAGCATTAAATGACCATATTTTGGCAAAGCCAAGGTGCCAATGATTATAAGATGTAGCACTGAGCCAGGCTCGGTGGCTCAGCCTGTAATCCCAGCGCTTTGGGAGGCTGAAGTGAGTGGATTG